AAAACTGTAACGACTATTAATGGATATCTCTAGTTGGTTTATTTGTGCTAAGGTAGTGTTGACTAAAAACCCACGCCTGATACATGTGAACAGAGAGGCACACACTTGTGCTTACACAAACCCACATGCTTTTTCTTGGAGTGGGGGAATGATCAGGAAGCCATACCCACCCATCAAAGTTTATTAGCTAATGTAATGAATTATTGTTTGTAGATCTATTACTACCACAATGTGAAATGCAGACGGGAGATGTTCGACAAGGATATAATGATGCTTCAGGTAATGGATTAAAAGCCCTGACTTCAGGGGATGGCGAGTCTTGGTCTCCTCCCACTGAGCTAACCACTTAACGCTCATTCCCAGACATGGGACTCTGGCCTGCCCTGTCTGCTAACACTCCCCACTCAAGGCCAACAGCCTGCACAGTGCTTCCACCTGATTCCCGAGCTCTGCAGACTCAGCATGCCAGATACGGCTTGTTTGTTTCCTAGCCGCCTGCCTGTCAGGCTCACTGCCTTGGGGAATCCACCCAGGTGTTCACATCAGAACCCCTGGCTGGGAAGATGGCTCAGTGCTTAAGAGCTTTTGCTGCCCTTCCGAGGACCAGAAGTCTGTGCCCAGCACCCACGTCAGGCCCTCACAACCACCTGGATCTGAGACCTTTCTGTGACAGGCATAGCACTCACGTGGCAGACACACACACACACATGAACATCATTTTTTAAATAGAATAGACTGGCTTGGAGGCTCACACCTTGAATCCCAACACTTGGGAGGCAGAGACAGAGAGGTCCTTGTGAGTTCAAGGCCAGCCTGACTACATAGTGAGACTGTCTCCAAAAGACGAAGAATAGGAACAGCAACAACAGGAATATGATGGGGTTGTGGAGATGGTCCAGCATGGCTGCTCTTCCAGAGGACTCTAGTTCAGTCCCCAGCTACTGAGAGCCAGTTTGAGTCAAAATTTTTTAAATGGCATTAAGAGAGATTTAAAACTAATAAAAATACAACAGGCAGTCTCAGTAATAATATACGTATTTACAAACTAAAGCTTAGTTGATATTTGTCTCAGTTCCTAGCAGGCAGTGAGCCCTGATAGGAAAGTGCAGCCAGACTCATAGAAGTATCCTGTGAACTGACCAGAACAGAGGCTGGGGCAGGCCCTGCAGTTTAGGTTTTAGGGGGCATTGTGTAGATTATTTGACCAGCTTAGATTCCTGGGTACCATATAGGGTCTGTGGCTAAGCAGGCGTCCATCTTTTCTTAGAATTGGTGGCCAATAAGCTGAGTTTTCTTGTGCAGACTAAAACACCTCTCACTCACAAGGAATGTCCCTCCTTACCCTCCTCTCCTCCTTTCTCTCAAACAAACAAAAAAAGACAGGTGTCTCCATGATGGATCCCAACCACTTCCTGATGATCATGCTCAGCCGCTTTGAACTCTATCAGATCTTCAGCACGCCTGACTACGGGAAAAGATTCAGTTCTGAGGTCACCCATAAGGTAAGAGCCTGGGTCCCAAGCCCCTGAGGGCTGAAGAAGCCTCTGCTGTTAGGATGTGGTCACCATCAGGAGACAGTTTGTCATGTTCTAACCTCTGAACTCCCCTTCCTGCAGGATGTCGTTCAGCAGAACAACACCCTAATAGAAGAGATGCTGTACCTCATCATCATGCTTGTCGGTGAGTTCGGCCGGCTCACGTGTCTGTAGGTGATGGCAATGGGCACCTTGCCCTATCCAGGACAGGGCAGTGAGTAGAGCTGCTGCTGCTGCTGCTTAAATCCTGCCTGTGCTTCTCCTCTCGCTGGTTCTTGGTGTAAATGGCTTCTTGACCCGAAGGTGGTAATCGCAGTTGCTCAAGCCCATGGCTCACAGTGTCTGCTCATTATCTGTGTCTCCAGGCCCCTGCCCCCCGTTTTCCCAGTTCTCTCATCCCTCCTGCCCGGTCATTCACCTGTGGTTGCAGACTTGTGTGGCCATAGAGTAGCAAATCCAACTGGCAGGGTGACGCTCATGAAGGGTCTCAAGGTGAGACCTTGCCTGCCCCAGACAGAAGCGGAAAGGAAGTCCCCCTCCCCGCCACCAGAGGCAGATAGGGCGGAAGCCTTGACTACTAAGGCCCTCTCCCTTCTCATCCTTCTCCAGAGCAGCCAGCCACCCTCAGGTCTGCTCTCTCCAAACCAGTCATTACTGTCTCCCGGGAGAGTCACTCAGTCCGAGGGCTGTACTCTGTTGCGGGAACTAGAAGGATGTATCACATGAGTGTCGTGGGTCTGTAAAATGTGTGCCTCTACCTTTTCATTGTGGACAGGAGAAAGATTCAGTCCTGGGGTTGGACAGGTGAGCGCCACAGATGAAATTAAGCGGGAGATTATCCACCAGCTGAGCATCAAACCGATGGCCCACAGTGAGCTGGTGAAGTCTCTACCTGAAGATGTAAGCACCAACAGTTTTTAGAAGACACCTGGTCAGCCTCCCCGTGTGTGTGAGTCCGTCTGTGTGCTCCCCGAGTCCATGCGAGCTGCACTCGTGGGATGTGGGGAACTCAGCTAGTGGACTACTATGAGTAATTTAAAAAGAAAATACTGGGAACGCTGATAGAAAGCAGAGCAGGGAGAGATAGAGGACACTACGGATGTGGTTCTTAAGCCGGGCGGTGGTGGCGCATGCCTTTAATCCCAGCACTTGGGAGGCAGAGGCAGGTGAACTTCTGTGAGTTCGAGGCCAACCTGGTCTACAAAGTGAGTTCCAGGAAAGGCACCAAAAGCTACACAGAGAAACCTAATTAAGAAAAACCAAAAAAAAAAAAAAAAAAAAAAAAAAAAAGAATGGTTCTTAGAGCTAAGTTGTTTTGGTTTTTTTGGGGGGGTTTTTTTGGTCCACTAGAGAGAGTGCATTTTAAGGTCTTTCTGAACTTGCCATGGCTGCACAGAATACTTTCTGTGTTGTTTATTAGGGGGGAGTGAACTACACTCACTGAGTTGAGTAGACTCCTCGAGTTTTCAGAGCTTTTTCCTTCTTAGGCACCAGAAGAGTCTTCCCCCACCTCCACTCCCCGATTTTGGTTTTTTGAAACAGTTTCTCCACGTAGCCCAGGCTGGCCTCAGAGTCCCCTGCCTCTGCCTCTGCAGTGCTGGAATCAAAGGTGTGCATCACCACAGCCTGGTGGAATGAGCCATCATCTTATTGAGGTGACCAAAGTCACCTTTGCAGGGACATTCATAGCTTGAATGATACTTGTTTCTCCTCCCAGTGCCATCGTCTCAGCCACCTCATCTTCAGCCTTGGGCCTTTTCAGAACTTCAGCTCCTGTAGCTGGAAAAGGCCTTTATTGTCATTAAGGCTCCATTGTGTTTGTTTTGGTGTGTGTGTGTGTCTGTGTGTCTGTGTGTCTGTGTGTCTGTCTGTCTGTGTGGGGTGTGTCCACTTGGGAGTGTAGGTGCCCAAAGAGCCCGGAAGAAGGTATTGGATCCCCTGGAGCTGGAGTTAGAGATGCTTGTGAACCACCTAATGCGGGTCCTGGGAATTGAACTCAGGTCCTCTGGAAGACAGCAAATGCTCTTCCCTGCTGAGCTGTCTCTTTAGCCCCCTCCTCAACGTGTTCTGCCAGAGTTAAAATAGATCATCAGCCCAGGGCTCTGCAGTTGCGGCTCTTGATCAGTTGGGTTGGCCTTGCCCAGTCACATCATCCTGACACCTTTGGTGCTGACATGGTAGTTCAGTGGGCAATGCCTCAGCCTTCTGATGGTGGTGTTAGGATGTATCCTGGCCCAGGCTGGCTAGCACACTGCTTAGAGTGCTGCAGCTGCGCTCCATACCGCTGAGCATGCTGTTTCTTGCTACTTTAGGAGAACAAGGAGACCGGCATGGAGAGTGTCATCGAAACCGTTGCCCATTTCAAGTGAGTTTATGCCATATTTTATGAAGTTTTCATTTTTAAACGTTTGTTTATTTTGTGTGCACCTATGCTCACAGCAACGTGACATAACAGAAGTCCAAGGACAACTCGAGGAAGTCAGTTCTCTCCTAGGACAGGCGTTCCGGGGATTGAACTCAGGTCATCAGGCTTGGCAGCAAACACCGTTTCCCACCGAGCCGCCTTTCTGGCCTCCATAATCACTTTTCTTAATGTGTTTCTTTTGATAAAACTAAGGGTGAAGCTGTCACTTGGAGAGTGACAGGGGTTTTCAAGTTTTAGTTCTAGAGTCGGCTTCTCATTGGTGTTTCTCCGGATCAGGCCGCACGGGCCAGTAAATACCTGCAGAGGGGTCTCCTTGTCTCAGACTAGGCATTCAGAGCTGTTGGGTTCCAACAGTAGGAATTGAGCTTAAGCAGTGATTTGAGCGAGTTCATCATTTGCTGCCATCTGAAGGTGCTATCTGAGTGAGGGTTGAAGCCTCCTCAGAGGGATGCCTCCCTGTGTCCATGTGCTCCCCAGGCCACCGGCTCTTTTGTTTTTCTGTTGGGGCAGTTCATCTTTTCGGAAGAGGTGGGTGGGCGTGTCAGGGTGTGTGTGTGTGTGTGTGTGCGCGCGCTAGATCCAAAGGAAAGCAAGGTTTATCTCCTGAGGAGTCCCTCCATGCCGCCTCCACAGCAGTGCCTCAGCTGACACTCCCGCTAGTCCCCGCCCTTGTCAACCTCACTCACTCTGGGGTTGGAGATGTTGTTGCTCTGAACTGAACTCAGGCGTTAGTGACCCCTCTACACCGAGCTCCTCTCTGCCTGGAACACTTTCACAATCTGTGGAGTAAATGGGTGGACCCTGTGCTGCCTTACTCCGTTCACCTTGTGCAGCAATGAGGTAGAGCATCTTGTCCTGGTTATTGACCGTTTGTGCATTAGGACGCCTTTGTGTCATTCTCTTCCCGGCCCTTCATCCCCATCTTACTGCCGTAGCATTTTTATATATTAGAAACATTGGCTCTTGCTACATTAAATATATGACAGATAGTTTCTCCCGGCTGCTTGACTTTACTGTAGTGTTATTTCACACAGATAGTTTAATGCACTCTGCCCAAGAAGAATGTTCTAGAGCATATTACCTGTTACACCGGAAGAGCTAGCACCATGCATCGTGGTGTGCAGGGCTTAGAAATGCTGCCGTTGAAGCCTCATCTGCTGGGCTTCTGAGCTGCGGCTCCCTCGAGTCCGCTTTTGCAGTTGGGACCAATTCAAAGTGGAGGTGCTGGGCGCCACGGCTCCAGCGAGGGCTCTGGGTGTTAGTGTCTTGGTGACCCACAGCACCATCGCAGCTGGACGCCCGAAAACAGTGTCGTGGACAGCTCCAGTCCTGCTGAAACGTCGAAGGCTTCTGGTATACGTGACTTTGCTACTGATGTTCTTCACCCATAGGAAACCTGGGCTGACAGGACGAGGCATGTACGAGCTGAAGCCAGAGTGTGCCAAGGAGTTCAACCTGTATTTCTACCACTTCTCCAGGGCAGAGCAGTCCAAGGTGAGGGGGGCTCAGTGCAGTAGGAAGTGCTAAGTCTGTTTTCCCTGTGAAGAGCAAGCTGGTGCTGCCCTTCAGACACTGGAAGTGGATCCCGGAGGACACGGATCGCTCAGCCACTGGTCTAACGTGGCAGGGTCCTCACCGGGTTGTCTGTGCGTAGGTGAATATTTCAAATGCACATACACACACCTGACTTTATTTGCTTGCTTGTTTATCTGTGCTGGCATCAAACCCAGGACCTTGCCTGTGGGAGCAAGCACTCGGCCACTGCAGTGCATCCCCAGTTCATTTCTCGTGGCTTATATCAGGATCCACTAGCCTGTTTGACACACATTCAGAACCAGTACTATTCGATAAGGGTTTTGAGACTTAGATTTTTGCAGTCTTCTTTTAACGTACTTTTTCAGTAAATGGTGTTAAAAATAAAAATTATTGTGAAGTTTTTATTTTGTTTTGATATACTTCATAACATTCAAGCCTAAGTTAAGTTTCAGGTTTATCCCTATTTTCCCCAGAGTCTTAAAGAACAAAAAAATTAGCCTTGATATGTGAGTGGTAGGGGGAGGAATAAACATTAAGGAGGTAGAAACCATCTACTCAAGCCACACACATTGGCTTCTGCCTGGAATCCAGGCAGAAGGATCAGTTCAAGGCAGCCTGGGCTACAGGTCCCTATTCTTGTGGGGGGTGGGGGGGGTCTGTTAAAGGCAGATGCTGATGCTATGTGTTATGTATTGTAATCCTTGTCCCTATTATGTTGTCTCTCATTAGGCAGAAGAAGCCCAGCGGAAATTGAAAAGACAAAACAGGGAAGATACAGGTATTTAATCTGCTTTCCAAAAGTCCGCATCAGTCTCTCACTGACAAAACATGGCTTTCTGTTAGTCACAATGATCACCCTTGGTAGGGTGGGAGATTCAAGAATAAGCTTTTCATGTGAGCTTTCTCCTGGTCTGAGGAATAATGAATGTAGTAGTACTGAGATGTTCTGCACACTGGAAGATGTTACTCCCTCCCCACACATCTGGAGATGGTTCTGAATTGGCCAGGACATCCCATGTGTACCTGCAGTGTCTCCGTACTTCCTCTCCGCTCCTTGTGTTCCACGTGGTGCTGCTTATGATTGACAAGGGTTTCAGGATGGAGAAGGTGGCCCAGGACAGTTCTGTAGCCTCTGCAGTACGACCCCTTTTCCAGCTTGCCTGCCTTCCAACCATCTCACAGACAGGAACGCATAGGCCGCGAGTCAGCAGGCTAGAGACGACACTGTAGGTTAAGTGCCTACCACACAAGCTTGAAGACCAGAGTGCAGCTCTCCAGAAGACAAATACAAAAATAAATAACAGTGGGGGGATGGGGCTGGAGAGATGGCTCAGAGGTTAAGAGCATTGGCTGCTCTTCCAAAGACCTGGGATAAATTCCTTGTACCCACATGGCAGCTCACAGCTGTTCGTAACTCCAGTTCCAGAGAATCTAACATACTCACACAGACATACATGCAAGCAAAACACCAATGCACATTAAAATAAATAAATAAATAAAAAGGGAAGAACCTGGGTGGGTTTTGGTGTCCCGCTTTTCATCTCAGCAAGCAGGAAGCCAGCAAAGACAGGGATGCCCCAGAGCAAACCAGCTAGCTAGACTAGCCAGCCATCAGTAGGTCTGCCTTGGGATAGGACGGTTTCACAAAGAAATCAAGGGAAACACCCAGCATCAACCTCTGGCCTCCACACACTGCACCCACACTCACACATGAACACACACACCACACATGCACACCAGGAGATCCGAAAGTCTGTTGCAAGTCACTGTGTAGTCAAGGCTTTTATGGAGCTCTCGAGACACTGCTGGAGGTAAGAGAGGCTCTGTGTGTAGCTGGGGCTGTGGTGTTCGTTCTTTCTTAACACACAGCTGTCCTTGTACGTGTGGTTGACATTGAGAATGTAAAAGACAGCGAAAAGATATTTGCTAATAAATGTCCTTTAGTGAAGACCATCGAAAGGACCTAACAAGTCAGGTGTGGTGGCTCACACCTTTATCCCATACAGAGGAGGCAGAGGCACGGAGAATCTCTGAGTTCGAGGCCAGCCTGGTCTACAGAGCGGTCCCAGGGCTACACAGAGAGAAGTGACTCCCTTAAACGTGTTCTCCTTTATTCCTAGCACTTCCTCCTCCGGCTCTGCCTCCGTTCTGCCCCCTGTTTGCGAGTCTGGTTAACCTTCTGCAGTGTGATGTCATGCTGTACATCATGGGAACAATACTGCAGTGGGCTGTGGAGCACCATGGGTCTGCCTGGTCGGAGTCTATGCTGCAGAGGGTAGGTTTACTAGCATTCAGTTTTCTGTGCCTGAGAAAGTCTGTCTCAATACACAGAAAAGTGAGGACCATGTGATAGTTAATGACCTCCTCTTGTCTCTGATGAACCAACCATGTGCCTGCTGATATTTTTATACCAGGTGGTTATGGTTAACTGGGTCCCATCAGCCAGACTGACTCAGTCTCTTGATCCCAGCCTTTGCAAAGTCTGGG